GACCAGACTGGGTCATCTGGTCCACACTCTTTGCTCAAACAGGGTCATCTCAGAGCACACGGCACAGGACTGTGTCCAGACAGGTCTGGAATATCCCCAGTGAGGAGACTCCACACCCTCTCTTGTCTCTGTTCAGTGCTCGGTCACTGCACAGCAAAGAAGTTCTTCCTCGTGTTCAGGTGGAACTTCCTGGCATCAATTCCTGCCCGTTCCTCTTGTGCCATTGCTGGGCCCCCCGAGCAGAGCCTGATCCATCCTCTGCCCCCTCCCTACAGACCCTACAGGGTCCCCTCTCAGTGTCTCTTCTCAAGACTGAACAGCCCCAGCTCCCTCAGCCTTTCCTGGTCACGGAGATGCTCCAGTCCCTTCAGCATCTTTGTTTCCCTCCACTGGAGCTGCTCCAGGAGCTCCATGTCCCTCCCGTCCTGAGGAGCCACCCACAGCTGGACACAGCACTGGACACATCCCTGTGGCTGCTCTTCTGGCTGATGACTAAAAGAGGAGAAGGTAAAAATCCATCTGTTTCAGATTCCCACTAGTGGCATCACCCTATTTCCCCCACCAAACCCCAGCTTTCCCCGGGATCTTGCTATCAGTCTTCTTCCCACTTGGCACAGCCCACGATTATCCTGGGAATCCCCCAGAGGGACCCCCACACCAGCCTGAGGGCCCTGCGCCCTGTCAGCGCTAGGTGGTAGCAGAGCATCGAGATGAGGAGGGAGAACAGGCGGCGTTTTCCTGACAAAAGGCTGAAAATCCCGCCTGGAGACGTGCGGACTCCTGCGGAACGCAGGGAGAGCGGGGCGGGGGGTGCTGGGAGAGAGCAGGGCAGGGGATGAGGGTCTTTGAGGGGAGAGGATGAGGAGAGGGAAGGGCTTCGGGGGGTCTGAGGGATGTTGCGTTCGCACAGTGCTGGGAGGGTGGGAGGGAACAGGTGAGAGTTTCAAGGAGAAAGGTTCAAACTGGGTGTAAGGAGGGACCTTTTCATCACCAGACCAGCCGAGGGGATCTCAGGAGAAGGTTCTTCCCCCAGAGGGTGGTCGGGCACTGAACAGGCTCCCCAGGGCAGTGGGCACGGCCCCAAGGCTGCCAGAGCTCAAGGAGCGTTTGGACAACAGGGCAAGAGTGGGATTGTTGGGGTGTCCTGTGCAGGGCCAGGGGTTGGACTGGGTGATCCCTGTGGGTCCCTTCCAACTCAGGACATTCCATGATTCTCTAAGTGTCAGAGTGTGTTGCCTGAAGTTGTGTCATCTCCCCCTTTGGAGGATTTGAAGCCCCTCAGCCACCTGGGACCTCCCGGGGTCCCTTCCAGCCCAAATTCTTATAAAATGAGCTTGGAATTCTCCCATGAGTCTGCAGTGGCTTCTAGAGCCCACACCAGCTTTAACATCTACAGCTTCCGGAGACAGGGAATTCCAAAGCTGAATTACATCCCATGTGGGGAACTACCTGCTTTTGTTTGGTTTTTGCTGTGAGCCAGAGCCTTGCTGGTGCCACCAGCTCCCAAAAGCCACCAGATGATGGATAAAACTGAAGGGAGATGCTGGAAGTGGCCACAGGACCCGGTCTTGGGATTTGTGGGCTGGTAAAAAGCTTTCCCTGGAAACCTCTGGGTCTGTGGCCTGACATGAGGATTTTTGGGATCACAGTCAGGACTGGTGTGTGCCTGGGGACTGAAGGGCCAGCAGGGGTTTCAGGGAGCAGAAAGGGAAAGGGAAAAGGGAAAGGGAAAAGAGCACACAGTCCTGTGTCCATGATCATCCCGCCTTCCTCCCCTCCCTGGGTGGCTTTGGCACCATCCCACCAGATCCTGGCACGGAACAGGTTGAAAATAGGATTTAAACCGTCTGCTCCCACAGCAACCTCCTGCCTCCAGGGCTTTTTTGGAGAGCTTGAACTGAGTTTCCTTCCTACTGGATGTGCGGGGAGTGCCCTGCAGTGCCTGGACCTGCCTGTGCCTGTGGTTTGGCCTCCCCGGGGGTCTCCCGAGCGTCCTGTGCCAACCAGCACTTTATCCCGTGGTTTGGAAAGGGGCTGTGTTGGGATATGGGCTGTTCCAAAGCATCTCCCCAGCCCTGCATCTGCTGCCATCGCCTTCCCAGACCTATTCCAGCAGCTGCTGTGCCTCAGGGGACATTCCAGGTGCACTCAGGGGTTGTCTGTGTGTCTGGCCGTGGGAATTACAGCAATTCCTGCCCCTGAGTTGTTTGATGGAGCACATTCCACATGGAACTCAGCTGCAGGATGTTTTTGAGGATGGCATGGAGCATGGGACAGGCAGGATACCTGTGCGAGGTGCACAATAATTTATTTTATTATTATTATTTTATTTTTAATTTTAATTTATTTTTGTTTTTATTTTTATTTTTAATTTAATTTATTTTTATTTAAAGTTTTATTTTTTATTTTATTTTTGTTTTTATTTTTAATTTTTATTTTATTTAGTAATTTATTTTTGGTTTTATTTATTTTTTAATTTTAATTTTAATTTTACTTGGTAATTTATTTTTATTTTATTTATATTATTTTTTATTTTTATTTGTTAATTTTTTTATTTTTACGTTTAATTTAATTTATTTTTATTTTAAGTTTTATTTTTTATTTTGTTTAGTAATTTATTTTTATTTTTCTATTTGTTTATGTATTTTAATTTAATTTTTATTTTATTTAGTAATTTATTTTTTATTTATTTTTATACCGGTTTTAATTTTAAATTTATTTTTATTTCATTTTTATTTTTATTTTTATTTTTATTTTTATTTTTATTTTTATTTTTATTTTTATTTTATTTAGTAATTTTTTATCTTATGTTTTATTGTTCATTTTTTATTTTTATTTTTATTTCACTAAAAAATCATTTGTTTTAATTTTATTTAGTAATTAATTTTTAATTTTTATTTTACATTTTACTTTTTATTTTATTTCTTATTTCCACTGTATTTTAATTTTATTTTTATTTTTGAATTCATTTTCATTTTACAATAAGGTGGTGGATCTAAACACGTCAGCAGGGACAAGGTGACGGACTCCAAACCAATTCCCATATCCCTCTGCCTCCCTAAAAACAATCCCTCACACCCTGTGGCTACCTCCTCATCTCAGCCCTTCCTTACTGAGCTGAGCTTTGCTCTCTGTTCCTTATCAGCTCCATCCACTGACTAAAGCAACTTTTAATCTTGATTTGACTCCTCTCCCTGGCTGCTTTCCCTTTGCCACAAGGTCTCCCTGCTCTTCCACAGCCATCCTTTAATCCATTATCCCTCAGCCACTGCTGAGACTTCCCCCTCCAAATGTCCCCACTTCCCTGGCAGCGGCTCATCTCCCGCCTCCCCGCAAAGGCTGGACATTCCCAAAAATCCTCACTTCAATCCGACCTGCAGCTCCCATCAACTCGAGTTACACACATTCCCTTTCCAAACTTTCTGTCTCTTCAACCCACAAGAGCAATAATTAGGGAAAACTTCATTTTGGCTGCAAAGCCGAACTCCAAACGTGCCGTCGCTCCGGGCCGGGAACACCAGGGCACTGCAGGGGGAGCTTTGGGCAGGGATGGGGAGCAAAGCTCCAGCAGGAGGGTGTTGGATTGGGGGGGGTTTGCTCCCCACACCTGAGCAGGGCTGTAGCCGGCGGCTCCCATCCCGATCCTGCTCGTGCCGCTGGAATTCAGCTGATTCAGTGGCCTCTGGGCTTCCAAAGGCACCTTCAGTTCTCCAGTCAAAGGCTGTGGCTCATGAGATCCACGGGGCAGGATCTGGGAACGCCGGGCAGGGCTGGGAAATGTGCATCTACGAGGAAGGGCGAGGGCGCAACCGCCTCCCTCTGTTCTGGTTTGGCAACTCCTTCTCCGCAGATCTGGAAACGCTACAAAGTTGAGGGAACAACCACCTGCCCCTGCAGATCAGCAGCCCCGGGGGGATGCGGCTTCCAGCAGCTCCCAGGTGATGGAGACTCTCCCTCTGGATTTTATTTCTCTCCATTTCAGATTCTGCCCCGCGCTGTGACCTCAGGAATGACGTTAAGGTGTGTTTACCTTGCACACAGTACATTCCACACGACATATTTCAAGTATATGTGATTTAATTCTGATTAATAGGATCCCACCAGGGCGTTGTGCAGCTCTGCCGTTATTCCAGGGATAATCTCCTTGGCTTGGCACATCCCTGTTTGTTATTTTACGGCCTCAGAACTACAAAAACTTTATAAATCAGGGAAGGTTTGAGGTTGAAAATGTACAGTGAGCACTTAAGACACATGATCTGCTGCAGCAAAGGCACGGTGATGTCCAGGACTCACCTCCAGGGCTCTGGGAGCTGGATGATTCCAGGGAATGTGGTCACTGATGAGAAAGGAAAAGCATTGCTGCAGGGTTACATCCTTTCCTTGAGTAGGTTTTTGCTGTTTGTGGATCAACTGCTGCCTCATGGAGACCAGAAAAAGAGCTGGAACAGCTCCTTAAGAAGCCAAGAAAAGCACCCATGGAGCAATCCCTCTACCTTGGTTTCCTGGGAAATCAAAAAAAAAAGGCTTGTGAGGAGAGATTTGGGAATGATGCTGATGAATGTTTTGGATGGGATTTGCCCCATCTCACTTCAATTGCTCAACAGTTGGCCCTTCCGAAACAAAATTCATTAGTCAACAGATAATCAACAGATCCTAAAATCCGTGAGATAATTCCCATCTGCAAGTTCCTAGTTCAGCTGATCCTTTGAGAGGTGACAGCTCAGGCTTATCAGTTCTTAGGCCGTCGTGTTTTTTGAGATGAACTCGTCCTTCCAAGCATCCAGGACAACTGGGAAAAGGAAACACCGAAGTCTGGGAGAGGGAGACTCACTGAGTTGCCTCATCAATGATTTGGAGCAATTTTGGGAACACTTTCTTCATGGGAAGGGTTGTAAAGCACTGGAACAGTCCCCATCCCTGGAAGTCTTCAAAAACACAAGGACGTGGCACCTGGGGACATGGTTTAAGGGTGAACATTGAGGAGGTGCTGGTTGATGGTTGGACTTGATGATCTTAAAGGTCTTTTCCAGCCTTAATGATTCTGGGATTTTGGCATTCCCTCTGGAATGTGAAATGTTGAGGATTCCTGGGCGTGCTGTGACTCTTCCCAACACCTGGAAAGGTTCAGTTTTATCCCAACTCTCTTGCTCTGGGATATGACCAGGCAATGAGTTACAGTTGCTGAGCATTCAATCCCCTCATCCTTAAAAACTGCTATTTGTTGAATTTACTGGGAAATTCCTTGATCCCAGAAAAAAACCAGTAACAGCCCATGATTTACATCCTCCTAAATAACAAGTGCCAGCTCCCCACACGGATCCGTGTGCTGCCATCCAGAGTGTGGGATTTGATTTCCTTCTCACTGACACGATTGAAAAGATTTGCCTTGTTCAACACAAGGGAGAAATTCTGTTTCCAGCACGACCCCAACTGGGTTTTTCTTGGAGCATTTTCCTTGATTCTCCTTTCTTCCATGCTCTTCCCTTGCCCAGCCTGGTGCTTTCCAGCTGATTTGGCAGGAGCTGGAGGTCACAGCTGAAGTATCATGGTAGTACTGGTGGTAAAGCACTCAATTTGTAGGGAGGGTGGAATTTTTATCATTCCAATGGCTGGAAGTCATCCCTCATCTTCCAGAATCCCATCGGTGCCCACAGAGCCAGAATCAACTCCTGTGATTCCCTGGCAAAGCATCACAGAGCAGCTCAGGCTGTGGGATGTGCCCTAAGATTTGTCCAAATGATCCGTAGAAAAGCTCACAGGAGGTCCAGCAGCCCTAGAAAGGATCCAAGCAAGTGTCTCCACGGTCAAAATTCCAAGTGAACACTTCAGAGGTGACGCATCCAGAAGGAAAAGAGGATAAGGCACCAGCAACGGGAAACCAGGTCGAGATCCCGAAGACCAGCAGCAACATTTTGTTTTCCCACTGCCAGGAAGAGAAGCTTCTGTCCAGCCTGGATGAAGGACACTCTGGATCCTCCCTCATTCCGAGTCGGATCCTTGGCTGGATGCAGGAATGTGCCAGGGCTGAGCCTCGAACACTGGAGATGCTGGAGGGAGGAGAAATAATGTCAGGATCAGATTAACTCAGGCAGAGAATTCACATTCTAAACCTGTTTAGGTGCTCAGCCAATCCTTGGGATTTTGGTGGCATTTAATACCTCAAATACCTCCACAAATCTGGATTATTTCCCTCCGTCATCTCATTATAGAGAAAATCACCATCAATCAAAACATCTTGACTTTTCCTGCCACTTCCTGGCAATCTGCAGACATTCCCTGGCAAAGCCCGGGTAAAGTTTACCTCGGGAAAAGCCCTGGCAGAGTTCACAAAGGTCCTGGAGAGGTCACCAAAGGAATTAAGATGGGATTTGTCTCTCTCTGATATTAAAAAAAAAAATATTACGTAGTTTTGCCTTGCAAATTGCCCCTCATCCAAATGCAATCCCTCGGGGATCCTTTCCTCGGGATTTTTTTACCACAGTGGTGTTTGTAAGGAGTTTGCTTCCCCACTAACCCTTTCCTCATGCACGGAATTCCCTGCCATGCAGAGGGAATTCAGCTGCAGCCGAGGCCGGACACGGCACATCCCGGCAGGCACCAGTTCCCTCCACCTTTCTGGCACCAGTAACAGTCACTGGGTGGCCACAGATCTGCAGGAATTCCCTGTGCTCCCACATTCTCTCTGCCAGCAGCACTTGCAGTTTGGTTCCCAGAAGCTCAGCCACTCAAACACCTTCTTCCCATTCCCGTTCCCTCTGGAGCCGAGCGATGCATTCCTGGGAAGCCGCCCCAACTCTGCTGCCGGACCAGCAGAATTCCCTGGATTGACTGGAACAGCCAACACCACATCCAAGGCCCAGAGCCTGCGCTTAACTCTGGATGACTTGGCCCTAATCCAGCTCACAACATTCCCACAGCTCTGTCCAGGCGATGGAATTCCAAGATGAGGGTCCTGTTTTATAGGAACCTTGTATGGCTTTAGCACTGAGAGGAACTGTGACCCTCTGGCCTGATCCTGATGCTTTTATGGCCAGGATGCATTTATGTCCCGCTTCCCACATGGAGAAGTCTTTGTGTGTTTTCCTTAGGCCTCACTCATGGAATCAGGGAATCATTTAGGTTGGAAAACCGCTCCAAGATCGAGTTTAACTGTTCCCTGAGCACTTCCAAGGCCATCACTAACCCATGTCCCCAAGTGCCACATCCACAGGGATTTTAAATCCCTCCAGGGATGGGAATCCACCACTGCCCCGGGCAGCTGTGCCAGGGCTGGACAACTCTTTCCATGAAGGAATTGTTCCCAATATCCAATCCTATATCCAATCCAATCTTTCTCATTCCAGTGCTTTCCCCTTCAGCTGCGTTTAGATCTTTTCATCTCCCACAGGAGGATTTGTGATCACTCACTTCCTCCTCGTGGAGATCAGCCTATGGACCTGCTAAAAATGCAGGATTCCAGGGAGATCCAGAGGGATGCCGGAGCTTTCCACGTGCTCCATCATCTCCCTTCTAAATGGGGTCACCAATAATTACTGGACAATTGTTGCCTTGTAGGAGCTCTGCTCACTCCACCTCTGTGATCTCCCTGAAAATCCTAACAGTGTCCCATCAGAATCCTATTTTCCATCGTTCCCTCCAGGTTCTTCATCCTTCTTGCACAACCAAAAACCCTCAGAGGTCACAGATTTTAATCCTTATGGATTAAAGCCATAATTAAGCCATTAAAACCCACTTGTGAACCAAGAGGACTTTCACCAAAACCTGCACAGGTGTTGGTGCTCCTCAAAGGTACCCAAAAGACTTTCCCAGGAGGCTGCAGACACTGAGGACCTTCGGGAGACATGGAGAGCTTCCCAAGCCAAGCCCAGATTGAAACAACACAAGATTCTTTGGGATGGTGTCATTCCACCTCCTTATTTTTGGGAGGCATTCCCGAATCAGCTGCTTCCTCAGCTGTTCTCTGCCTGGAGTTCACTGCTCTGTGCTGGAATTTGCTGAGGGCTCTGGTTCCAACCCAACCACACCAGCTCCTCCTGGATTCTCTCCAGGACCTGGCAGAGTCCCTGGACTTTGGATGGAGCCCACGGCCACATCTCTTGCTCTGCCAGGCAGTGTTGATGAGTTAAACCCGTGTGGAGCCTGTGCCAATGTTCATTCCAAGATGACAGCTGGGACAGGTGGGTTTGGGAAGTGCTGGATGTGACATCTCTGGCCATAAATTCTCTTCCAATGCAGCAAATCCCTGTCTGCATTCCCACCATCCCTGTCCTTCCCCCACAGAAACACCCGGCCAGTGTCACCTCCTTCCCTCTGGGCTCTAAATGGAACAGCTCTGCTGGTGACAAGGACAGTGGGATTGCTTGATCCCAAGCACAGACATGGGCTGGGGGATGAAGGGATGGAGAGGATCCCTGAGGACAAGGACCTGGGGGTGATGGTGGATGAAAAGCTCAAACTCCAGCCCAGAACCCCCCCATGTCCTGGGCTCATCCCATACCAGAGGTGAGGGGATTCTGCCCCTCTACCCCTTCAGGTGAGACGCCCCTGCAGAGCTTCTTCCGGCTCTGGGAACAACAGCAGAGGGACGTGGAGCTGCTGGAGCGAGTCCAGAGGAGGCCCCGGAGATGCTCCGAGGGCTGGAGCCCCTCTGCTCTGGAGCCAGGCTGGGAGAGCTGGGGGTGTTCACCTGGAGAACAGAGGGATCCAGGGAGCCCTTGGAGCCCCTTCCAGAGCCTAAAGGGGCTCCAGGAGAGCTGGAGAGGGACTTGGGACAAGGACTGGAGGGACAGGACACAGGGAATGGCTTCCCAGTGCCAGAGGGCAGGGTTAGATGGGAGATTGGGAAGGAATTCCTGGCTGGGAGGGTGGTGAGGCCCTGGCACAGGTTGCCCAGAGAAGCTGTGGCTGCCCCTGGATCCCTGGAAGTGTCCAACTCCAGGTTGGAGCAACCTGAGATAGTGGGAGGTGTCCCTGCCCATGGCAGGGAGTGGAACAAGATGGTCTTTAAGGTCCCTTCCCGAACCATTCCATGATTCCACGATCTGGATACTGCCAGGCTCTAGAACAGCCTCCCCATGGGACAGGACATCTTACTGACATGGAGCTCTGCTCTCCATCCTGGTGACATCTCCAGTCCCTCTCCCACGTGGGTTTGGTCCCGGAGCTCGGACAGGTGCCGGTCGTATCCCGGCGTTCCACTGGGAGCTCTGGGCCAGGGCCTTTGCCGCTGCCTTGGGGGGCAGGTTCCCAGCGGAGCGATGGGCAGCCCAGCTGGGACGAGCTGGCGGCTTTGGAAGACACTCAGGATCTGCAGGGAGCCATATCTGGGAAGAGAAGACAACATCAACATCCCAACAGCTTCAGAGGGACTGGAAAGCTTGGAATCCACTGAGAACTTCCACGAATTCTACACATTCTATACATTTTATCCCTAGATGAGACGAGCACTTGCAGTGGCCTGTGCTGTGGGATAAAGTTTACCTTGAGGACAAAAGGACCTCACTAGAAAGTGATGCCAGTAAAGCTGAACCCACATTAATTAATTAATTAATTAATTAATTAATTCTCCACAGCAATTCAGATGTTAATTCCCCAATTTCAACCCCCCTTCCCCCATGCACGTGGCTGTGTCTGATCCCAGCCTCGCTTGGTGTTTGGAAGTGTCTCAGTGTAAAGGATGAAATCTGTTTTAACAGAAGATCAAAATTCAATGAAAAAAAAAAAAATAATAATAATAATAATAATAATAAAATCTTAATATCACAGCTTATTCCTTGAGGAAGATCCCCAAAGATTCAAAAAAACCCACAGGTTATTCTGACCAACAACTTGGGTTTTTCAGACTTATTTGGTCAGAATAGCGGACAAACATTACCACGTTGAGCAAATAAAACTGAAAATAGGGTTTGCAGAAGATAAATGTACATTGGGCAGGACCATGTGTGGGTGCTGGGAGCCCTGGATCTTCATCTTCTGCCCATTATAAATATGATTTTTACTCCAAACATCAATTCTCTCCCCACTGCAGAGACACGGGGGGGTTCCTGTGCATCCCTAGGAAGGAAAGTGGCCCTAATTCATTCACAGCCCTAATTAACTTATTCCATCACAATTTACAATTCCTTGTAATTGAGCTACTTCACTTTAATTTATTCTAAATGAAGTGGTCGCACTCCGTGCTTTCCACCATCACTAATAAACTCCAAAACCTCCCAGGTTTTCCAGGGGAGAACTGATTCACCCCATGCAAATGCGGAGCCGGTGGATGCAATTCCAGGACTTGGGTCATCACCTTCATTAGGTGTTTTTATTCCACTTTGGTGTGTTGTTGCCTCCCGAGCCGGGAGCTCCCTCTAATAACCCTTTTTTCCATCTCTATTATTGACTGTAATTCACTTTATTCTCACCTACTTTCTGCACTTGAATCACAGATCTATTCAAGGGCTGCCTTTTAATTTGACTTGATGTTTGCCTGCCTTGGGCATTTATTCTTTCATCATGGTCTCTTTTTTTTCTTCTAAGGATTTACTGAAAGATTTGCACATTAAGCCTCTTTATTTGGACTTGATTAAATAAGAGCCTTTTCAAAGGTCTTCATTTCAGCAAGGTTTTCCAATGCTGCTTTAATAACAAATGGAAATTAATTTTGCATTATTCCTGGCGAATTATATTTATATATATATATATATTTATTTTCTTTTTCTATGCACCAGCCTGGTGTAACCTCAGCTTTATTGTCTCGTCGTGCTGCTGCCATTAAAGGAGGTTTTGTGTGAGAATAAAAAGCACAGCTCTTCTACTGGAACGTGGACAACTCTAAAATCAGGAGGAACAGAAGCCTTTGGAATCTCAGCCCAAGGTGCCTGTGCCTTCCTGCTCAGGTTCATTAACTTTGAAGAGCAATAACTTTGGTAAAATCTGGGGGGAAAGAATCAAATTAACTTATTTTAGGCCTGAACTGAGATTTTTTCTTTCTTCGGGACTGACAATAAAACAGCTTTAAATGTGAAAGGGGGAGATGTGGTGGGATGAATCCGTGGAGGGATGCTCGGATCAGAGGGAACCACTGGAGAGTGGAAACTGTAAGACAAGGGCTGAATAATTATAACCATCATTATTTATATCATTTAACAGCGACTGAAAGCTTTTCCTTGCAAACAGGCCGCATTTGGGTCGGGAGGAGCCTCCCCATCCCTGCAGACAATGCCTGTCTTTCGTGGCTTTCATGGAAAAACACATTCCCAGGTCTGCTTCCCGAAAGCCCCCGACACGCCCGCGAGCACGTCCTTCTTCCAGCAGTTATTCGTTGCCGCATCCACAAAAAAAACCAACCCCATGGAGTTTTCTGGAAGCCGAACTTCCCGAGGCTCCTCTGACGGAGGGGATGCCCTATTTTTCCAGCCCGGAGCACAAAGAAGCCTCAGTGCCAGACCTTCGCTGGGGCTCAGCTCCGCGACAACCCAGCGACAAACCGCTGCCATCGGGAGCCCTGGGCAAAGCAGGGAAGCGTTGGGAAGGGATTCGTCCCGAGGGAATTGTGCCAGGGCTTTGTGGAAAGCGTGGAAATGGAGCCTGAGAGGAGGGAGGGAGGGGTAGGGAACGAGGAAGGGACAGTCGCTGTCCCTTCCCCGCCCACGGCAGGTCCCCCTTGATGATTTATAACCATCTGTTTATAAACAGTTTTCCTCCATTTCCTCTTTGATTTAACGTTTGGTTGGACTTTATGGCTCTGGACCTGCAGCCAGGCTGGGATGAGGGATGAGGGAATACCAGGCACCTGCTGCTCTTGGCTGGTTTAGGGATGGGTGTGTTGTGTGTGGGGATCCTGCTCCTCTACAGCAGAAATGGGGCTTTCTGAGTCGTTCCACCCTTTACATCCATGATTTTGGACTCCTCCCGTGCTTTTCAGCCTTCCTTCCAGGAGCCCAGAGACACTGGGAGACACCCTCGGGCTTGCTGCTTGAAATTCCCGAATTCTGTCTTGTGGGATTGGAAGGTGGAAGGGGAATGAGCCCCTTCAGAGGGGCTGATGGACCTGCCTGAGTTCTTCAAAGACCTTCCCCACAGTCTGGATTTTACTCCTGAGAGTGGAAAATGGTGGCAGCTGGCCATATCCCGGTGGGATTCCCTGAATTTTCACACTGGAATATTCCTGTCCTGCCAGTAAATTATATTGACTTTAAGAACAGCTGCATAGAAATGTCTAAATTAATAAATTTATAGACATCTACAAGCCTGTGTCAGCTCCAGAAGAGTTTGGACAACGCACTCAGGGACATGGCGGGGTTCTGGGAATGTCCTGTGCAGGGCCACGAGTTGGACTGGATGATCCTTGTGGGTCCTTCCCACTCGGGATATTCTATAATTCCATGATTTTACATTGGGAGCACTTCCCTAAGTGAAAACTCGGAGCTCAAATATTCCTGGGAGTGCATGACACGGAGACAGTTGATCCAATTCCGGGCTGGAGATACTTGCCAGGGATTTCTCCTTCTGGAGCTGGTTGGATCCACGTCCCGCTCTCCTTTTCCTCTCGGCTGCCTGTCGGCTCAGGTCTGGGGTCTTCCCTCCTCCCTTCCTTCTCCTGCGGAGTCCAACACAGCAGGATTAATAAATGCTCTGGAATTGCTTCCCTGGGTTTGAGAAAAAGGAAAATCCCTCGTGCTGTTGCCACCCGAAAAGCCACAATTTGAGAGCCCACGTTTGATCCCACCTGGGGCAGCCCAAGAGAGCACAAATCACGCTCTGGGCTCAGACTGGTGGGGGTTTTTTTAATTTATGATAAGCTGGTTTTTAAGTTAAGAGAACTTTCTAGCACTCAGAACACGCCCTTAGCTCCAGACTTCCTGATTTAGGCTAAATCCAGACAACATGTTACAGGAAAATTCACGCTCAAGGAGTTTAACTCAATCAATTTGAGAGTTTTCAGTGAAATCGGTGTAATTTGTAGACTAAAACAGGCTGGGGGGGGGCTGCCCCTCCAGCAAGGTGTTTATTCATTGTTTTTATAGCCAAATTAATAAATACATAAATTTTAAAAACATGTTAAATATATAAATACATATAAACATATATAATGATGCATATTATTATATATAAGTATATAATTATATGCAATTATATATAATTACGTATTAAATATAAAGATATCTAAAATATCTAAATATACAAATATATAAAACCATAGAATCACAGAACATCCTGAGCTGGAAGGGATCCACAAGGATCATCCAGTCCAACTCCTGGCCCTGCACAGGACATTCCCAGAATCCCACCATGTCCCTGAGAGCGTTGTCCAAACTCTTCTGGAGCTCACACAGGCTTGTAGATGTCCATAAATTTATCAATTTAGACATTTCTATGCAGCTGCTATTAAAGTCAATACAATTTACTGGCAGGACAGGAATATTCCAGTGTGAAAATTCAGGGAATCCCACCGGGATACGGCCAGCTGCCACCATTTTCCACTCTCAGGAGTAAAATCCAGACTGTGGGGAAGGTCTTTGAAGAACTCAGGCAGGTCCATCAGCCCCTCTGAAGGGGCTCATTCCCCTTCCACCTTCCAATCCCACAAGACAGAATTTGGGAATTTCAAGCAGCAAGCCCGAGGGTGTCTCCCAGTGTCTCTGGGCTCCCGGAAGGAAGGCTGAAAAGCACGGGAGGAGTCCAAAATCATGGATGTAAAGGGTGGGAAGACTCAGAAAGCCCCATTTCTCCTGTAGAGGAGCAGGATCCCCCCACACAACACACCCATCCCTAAACCAGCCAAGAGCAGCAGGTGCCTGGTATTCCCTCATCCCTCATCCCAGCCTGGCTGCAGGTCCAGAGCCATAAAGTCCAACCAAACATTAAATCAAAGAGGAAATGGAGGAAAACTGCACTCTGTTCATAAACACTGACAGCCAAGGGAGAAAATTCAATCCACAATATTCCAACTGGGAGCAAACTGGTCATCCTGGTGGGCCTGATGGGTGGACTCGATCTTGAGGGTCTTTTCCATCCTAAAGGATCCTGTGGCCTTCAGATAGAAAGGAGACCCGGCCTTGTGGTTGGAAATGAGGATATCAGCCTCTCCTGCTGCATTCTGCTGTCCATCCCTGTGGTGTTACAGCATCCCCCTGCAGCAGGTCCCCACCACGATCCCATTTCAAGGTCTGGAAAATGTAGGGAGTGAGGATGAGTTTCTCCAGGGCGTCAGAGCCCAGATGAGAACGGCAGGTCTCTCACTGACAGCCCTGAACTCGGTGATTCTCGCCCCGTTTTCCTCCCACTTTCGTTTCCTACAAGGAGTATTTTTCACTCCCACGAGCCCAGCAGGCCCAGAGAACTGGGCTGGAATGTGACAAGCGGGAGCCAAGCGTTGGGATTCCGAAGGGCAGGGATACAGCACGTCCTTCTCACGCGAGCGAGCCCCTCTTTGTCAGGGCTGCCGACAGAACAATTAACTGAAAGTAATTATTTTCTCGTTGGGTAAACACTCCAGGACAATATGCAACTGTTTCTTAGAGCCAGCCTACGTCCATAAATTATCCCACTGAATTAGTGCTGCCTTCCAGAAGCCTGGGCTGGCCGGGAGAGGTGGGGGGAAGGAGGTTGCATTTGGGGCTGAGCTGTTGCCATGAGAGGTAGCAGGGCCCTTCCTTGAGGCACAAGGACATGATCCTGGCAGGGATCCAGGGCCAGGGCTGGAATTGGAATCCATTATTCATGCTGAAGGGAGAGGCAAATCTTTTGATTTATTGGCAGCACAAGCAGCAGATGCCTCCCAGCAGAACCGGGACCCAAAGGCCCCTCCTGGTCCCCCGGGGGCAGATCAGAATCCCACAGGAAGATTTCCTCACTTGAGATAAAAATCTATCACTTCCCCTTTGCAGTGTTTCTTTGTGCCCAAAGAGACAAATCCTTGCTGATCTCTGGGAGGGTTTGTTGGGTTTTTTTTTTTTTTTTGGGGGGGGGAATATAACAAAAAGCTACTGGGACAATCCGGGCAGAAAACAAACCAGACCTACCAGAAACCACCCCCGTGACAAACTGCGACACCGACAGTCGCGGCCAAAACTCGGCTGAGGGATTTCGGTAACCCCTTCCAGGCAATTTGTAATCCAAGTCCTGTCTGGGTCTCTTCCCTACCACCTCACCACTCCCCGGGCTGTGCAGCTGATCATTGCTCTTCTTCATTTCACTGCCCAGGGGCTGCAAAGCTTCTCCCACTCTGTCCCAACCCACCAACCTCCCAGAGAACATTCCGAGGGATCTCTGTCCCGTCTCCGTCATTCCACGGAGTCTCCTTCAGAGGTTGCTGCCACTCAAGTTTTTAGAGCGCGGGCTCGTTACTTGCTGAGCAAGAAGCCAAGAAATCCATCGGAAAAGATAAAAAAACCAGCTTTCAATTATCGCCCAGATTGCAGATGAACATCTTTCTGCCACTTTCTGGGACAGTGTGATGGTGCCTCTCCCCAGTGACACGAAGCACCAGCGCAATCCAGGCCAAACCCTCCCCGAGCTGCTCCCCAGAAACCTGCTGATTTATTTTTCAAAGCTAAATGGCCAATTATGGTTTTATAGCCCGAAGAATATGTCTTGTGTTACCATTTATAGGACTCCCTTCATCTCCACTCCCCTGTGTGACTGAGAATTCACTGTAGCTTGTTACGCTTCCCGTGTTCCACTTTTTTTTCTGGGGCTGAGCAGGGAGAAGTTCTGTGCTGGGAATTCTCAGCAGAGCTGTTTTGGAAGCTGCTGTGGAAGGGGGACCATGTAGAGAAAGACTTGTCCCGAAAGGACAGTGAAGAAAGAGATGACACATCTTTGTCATCAGGGATGGCAAGAAGTGACATTTCACTCAGACAGACAGGGATGGGACAAGGGGGAACAGTTTTAAACTGAAAGAGGAGAGATTTAGAGGAGACATTGGGAAGGAATTCTTGGCTGGGAGGGTGGGGAGAGGCTGGCATGGAATTCCCAGAGAAGCTGTGGCTGCCCCTGAATCCCTGGAAGTGTCCAAAACGAGGTTGAACGGGACTTGGAGCAACCTGGGATAGTGGGAGGTGTCCCTGCCCATGGAACCAGATGAGTTTTAAGGTCCTTTCCAACTCAAACCATTCTGTGAACCTGTGGAACAAGATGATCTTTAAATTCCCTTCCCACGCTGGATTCATGAGGACACCTGGAGAAAAGAAGGATCCAGGGAGAGCTCGGAGCACATTCCAGAGCCTAAAGGGGCTCCAGGAGAGCTGGAGAGGGA